TACTGCTGCTACTACTACTACTACTGCTACAACTACTACTGCTATTACTACTACCACTACTACTACTACTTCTTCTACGACTACTACTACTACGGCTGCTACTACTACTGCTACTACTACTACCACTGCGGATACGACTCATACTACATTTATTGCTACTACTACAACAACAACTACTACTGCTATTACACTACTACTACTACTACTACTACTACTACTACTACTACTACCAGTACTTCAACCACTACTACTGCTACTACTAGTGCTCCTGCTACGACTACCACTACTACTACTACTACTACTACTACTACTACTACTACTACTATTACGACTACTACAATTTCTACAACTACTACTACGACTACTACTACTACTACTACTACTACTACTACTACTATACTACTATTACTACTGCTACTACTACTCTCACTACTACTAACGTTACTACTACGACTGCTGCTTTTGCTACTACGAGTGCTACTATTATTACTACTACTACTATTACTACGACCTTCTACTACTACTGCGACTACGACTACTACTACTATTAGTACGACTACTACTACTACTACTATTACTACGACTGCTAATGCTACAACTACTGCTACTACTACGACTACTACTACTACTACTACTACTACTACTACTACTACGGCTACTACTACTACTACTACTACTGCTGCTGCTACTACTAATATTACTACTGCTACGAGGACTACTGCTCCAACTACTACTGCTACGTCTACTACTCCTACTACTACTACTACTGCTACTACTACTGCTACTACTGCTGCCACTACTGCTTCTACTACTAATGCTACAACTACTGGAACGACTACTACAACTACTACGGCTACGATTGCTGCTACTACTACTACTACTACTACGGCTACTACTACAGCTACTACTACTGATACTAATACTGCTACTAGTGCTACTACGGCTATTACTGCGACGACTGCTTCTACGACTGCTGCTGTTACTAGTACAATGACTACTACCATTGCTACTACTACTGCTAATACTACTACTATTACTATTACTACTATTACGACTACTGCTACTACAGCTACTGCTACTACTACTACTACTACTACTACTACTACTACTAGTACTGCTACTACCACGACTACTACAACTACTTCTAGTAGTAGTAGTAGTACTACTACTACTTCTACTTCTACTTCTACTTCTACTCAGACTACCACCACCACTACCACTACTACTACTACTACTACTACTACTACTACTACTACCACTACTACTACTACTACTACTACTACTACTACTACTACTACTACGACTACTACTACTACGATTGCGACTACTGCTGCAGCTGCTGCTGCTACTACTACTTCTCCTACGACGACTACTACTACTACTAATGCCCTAATACTGCTACAACAACAACAGCAACAACAACTACTACTACTACTACTATTACTATACTACTACTACTACTACTACTACTACTACTACTACTACCACTCCCACGAACACTACGACTATTATTATTACTACCCTATAGACTACTACTACTACTACTACTATTACTACTACTACGACTGCTACTACTACTACTACTACTACTACTACTACTACGACTACGACTACTACTACTACTACTACTACTACTACTACTACTACTACTACTACTACTACTACTACTACTACGACTACTACGACTACTACTACTACTACTACTACTATTACCACGACTACTGCTACTACTACTACTACCACCACTACTACTACTACTACTACTACTACTACCACCACTACTACTACGACGACGGCTACTACTACTACTACTACGACTACGACTACGACTACGACTACTACTACTACTACTACTACTACTATTATTACTACTACTACTACTACTACTACTACTACTACTTCCCAGGGGCTCTGAAAGGTAGATTCCCGACCACTCTTTGTGTGCGTTTTGTCATTGCTATCGAGGGGGACCTTGCCGCGGCGGCGAGGAACCTCCCATAGAGGCTCAAAAGCGGCACCGACACGCCCAGAAATTTCACCCTCGAGCCTCGAATCTTGATCCTCGAACCTCGAGCCTCGGCCCTCCCGCAGGCGCAAAACGCATCCGTGTCCACGGCCTCGCGGGCCCAGCCCCTGGGCCGCGACCCCGCGGACACAGGGCGTGTCTTCGCTGATGCCCCGCGCGAAACGCATCCGTGCGTCCGCGGATCCGCGGGATCACGCCCCGGAGTCGAGATTGCGAGGGCGTGGATATAGATACGTCCGCCCCTTGTGACCCTCGGCGCGCTGCAGAGAAGGGCGATGTCCGCGGACGGCTTGCGTGCACCATGCTGCGCTGGTGCCTCCCGAGGCGTCGTCGATCCTCGACCCAGGAATCGTACGGTGCATAGTTGTTCGGCCCTCGGAGTCCAGAAACTACGCAGCGTACCGCGTTGGGGCGGGGGCTGAAGGGAGTCCAGAAATTGTATGTTCTGTGGGCGCCGCTCTCGCACGATGGTGCGAGGAGGACGGCGGAGGCGGCGGCCGCGAAGGCCGCGACGGCGGCCGAGGCGGCCGAGGCGGCGGTCGCGACGGCGGCGGCGGCGGCGGCAGCGGCGGCGGCGACGGCGCGCCGCCGCCACGTCGGCGCGCCGCGGCGGCGGCCAGGAGCCCACGCGGCGCGCGGGCGCGGCCCCGGTGGGCTGCCAGCCCACGGGGCCGCGTGGGCGACGGCGCCGGCGGGGCCGATGCCGCCGTCGGTGCCCCAGGCCCCGTGCTGCCGGCCAGGGGCCGGAGGACGGATGTGCGGCGGGGAGGGTCATGGGAGGGCAAGATACGGACACGGTGATGCTGGTGTTGATGTTGGTGTTGGCGAGGATGATGCCAATGTTGATGATGGTGTTGATGGCGATGGCGATGGCGATAGCGATTCCAGTGGCGGTTACGATGGAGACGATAATGGTGATGATGGTGATGATGATGCTGCTGATGACGACGATGATCATGCTGGTGATTGTGATGATGTTGAGGCTGCTGCGGATGATGCTTTTGATGCTGATGTTGATGCTGATGCCGATGACGATGCAGTTGGTGATGATGCTTCTGCTGCTGATGATGATGCTGCTGATACTTACGATGCTGATGATGCTCATGGTAATGATGATGGTGATGACGATGCCGATAAAGGTGACGATGCCGATGGCGATGGTGACGATCTTGACGACCTTTACGTTGATGACGATGGCGATGATGAGGATGATGATGATGGTAATAAGTTGAATGATGTCCATGATGATGACGATGATGTTGTTGTGCATGATGATGGTGATGGTGATGGTAGTGGTGATGGTGATGGTGATGATGCCGATGCTGATGATGAAGAAGAAGAAGTGACATGATCAGACGATGTTGATGGTGCGGTCGATGAATATGGTGGCGTCGATGATGCTAAAGCTGATGATGATGATGATGATGATGATGAGGAGGAGGATGAGGATGAGGATGAGGATGAGGATGAGGATGAGGACGAGGATGATGCTGATGCTGATGGTGGTGATGATGATGGTGACGATGATGATGCTGATGATGATGATGATGATGATGATGATGATGATGATGATGATGATGATGATGATGCTGATGATGATGATGATGATGATGATTATGATGATGATTATGATGCTGCTGCAGATGATGATAATGGCCATCGTGAAAACCGAAGAGCGAAGAGCGAGGATGAAAGAGGGAGGGATATGTAGGGCGGAGGAAAAAAAACGCAGGAGATGGATGAGGAGAAGGAGGAGGAGGAGAAGAAGGAGGAGGAAGGGATAACCATGAGATGGGGGAGGAGGAGGAGGAGGAGGAGGAGGAGGAGGAGGAGGAGGAGGAGGAGGAGGAGGAGGAGCAGAGGAGGAAGAGGAGGAGGACAAGGTGAGGAGGAGGAGGAGGAGGAGGCAAGGACAGGAGGAGAAGGAGGAGGAAGAGGAGGAGGATTGGAGGAGGAGGAGGAGGAGGAGGAGGAGGAGGAGAAGGAGGAGGAGGAGGATTATGAAAAGGAGCAGGAGGAGAAGGAGGAGGAAGAGGAGGAGGAAGAGGAGGAGGAGGAGTTGGAGGAGGAGCGGGAGGAGGACGAGGAAATTGAGGAGGAGGACGAGGAGGAGGTGGAGGAAGAGGTGGAGGAGGAGTTGGAGGAGGAGGTGGAAGAGGAGGAGGAAGAGGAGGAGGAGCCTCGCCTGGCGCATCTCGGCCCGAGACCGGCGCCCCGCGGTCGTGTGTCCGGGAGCGCCTAGCCGCGGAGCCGGGCGGCGGGCGACTGCCAGCGGCCACTTGCCGTGGGCAGCCTCCGAGGCGGGCCCGGGAGAGAGGAGGAGGGGCGGATGGCAGGGGTCGCCTGCACGCAAGAGTGACCTTTCCCAGGAGTGACCTGTGGTGCGGGCTCCTTGGCGTCCCCCGATCGCCGAATGCGATGCGATGGTTGCGTCTTGCGCGCTTAGGTTTGGCCCCTTGCGCGGCTCCCCGAAAGACGCGCACCAAAGGTCACTCTTACCCAGGGTCACTCTTTTGTGTAGCCGAATGGGGGAGGGAAGAAGAAAGTGCCCACAGCGGTGCCTTTTCCATTGTTCTCGCCTCTTTGGGGCCTCCTCGGCGGTCCTCGCTGCCGCCGCTGAATTCGCCCCGAGATTCTGGTCAAGACGCATCCCGAGAGAGGTCCGGGGAGCAGTGATATTTTTCAGGGAGGGAAGGCGGAGCAGGAGGAGGAGGCGGAGGAGGAGGAGGAGGAGGAGAATGTGGGAGAGGAGGATGGGGAATATGGAAGAGGAGGGCACGAAGAAGATGGAGAGGGAGAGGGAGGACGAGAGACAGAGTAGATGGTGTACATGCAGCAGGCAGAGTAGGAGCGGAAGGTTGAGATGTGGAGGAGTCGGAGGAGGGCAGTACTGGAGGAGGAGGGGCGCGGCGGCGGGCTGCCGCTCACGAAGCCTCACCGTGACCACCGCCCAGGGCTGCGGCAGCCGCCGCGCATGACGTCGTCGAGCTCGCTGCCGGCGGTGTGGAAGTCGACCTCGGGGCTCTCGCAGGCGGGCCTCTCGCAGGCGAGCGACGAGGCCGCGAGCCAGGGGGGGTGGGGACTGCTTGTCTGCTGTTCGTTTCGGAAGGACAGTCATCGTGTTGGGAGGATGGGGTTGGGAGGAAGGATCATGTCATCAATACTACCGCGTATGTCGAAGGTGCATCTTACGCAGTCGTGACCTGCATCTTCCCAACCTTTCGGTGCCGCCTGTATCCAAGGCTATGCCTCCTCTCGGCCTCGCTCTGAGGCTCCGCCGCTTCCTCCCTCTTCTTCTCTGCCTAATTTAAGCTTCGCGCGGCCCGCTTAGCTTCGACCGGAAGAGGTGCGCTCTCGACCCGCGGATCAAAGCATTTTCCCAACCTTTCCCCTCAACGCGATCGTTGTCTTTCGCAGTGGCCTGCTCGCTCCACACATGCTCGATCCGAGTACGTCCCCTCATGCCCTCCCCGTACACTGTGCGAGCGGGACGGCGTTGCGCCCCACATGTTGTGTTTAATGCCAACGGTGTCATTCGTTGGTTCTTCATGGAATTAGTTTTCCTCCGCTGCGAGCGTTGCGCTTGTGATTGTTGTGTTGTGTTGCGGTGTTCACGCTGCGGCATTGGCGTCATTTCAGGATCGGTGATCTGCTCCCGTCGTTCAGGATGGCGCTTTCGCCCCAGCATGGGCCACAGTTCTGGATCCGATTCTTTCCTCGTCGTTGTCCCCCCCTCCTTTCCCCTCCTCCGTCTTCCCGTGGTCCTGCTCTGGGTGCGCCTCGTCCTCATCTCCTCTCCATCCCTCTCCTTTTCCTCCTACCCATTCCCATGCTCGTCCGACACCGCCTCCTCCAATGTGCAGAGGGTCCCTTTCTGATTGCGTATCACGCGATGGGGTAATTTTGTGGACCCAGGTCCGCTTGGACACACATCGGCTGATATAGAAGAGTCAGCACAAGGGAAAAGGATGGGTGGGAAGGGGTAGGAGGTAGGATGTCAGATATGGCACGCGCGCAGCTAGCTGACTCTCTCTCCATCTCTCCCTCTCGCTTTCTATCCCCCTCTCTGACTCTCTTATCTGTACTTGTGTCTATGCTTCCCCTCTCTTTCATTTCTTTGTTTGTTTTCTCTATCTTTCTCTCTTTCTCTCCCTCCCCCTCCCTCTCTCCCCCCCTCTCTCTCAGCGACGGGGGGTGAGAGGGAGGCCCCACGTAGTCCCAGGGGTGGGTGGGACCCAGCGGTCGAGATGGCCGATGGTTGGTGTGGCATGTCTTGGGTGGTGGTCGTGCTGCTATCGTGCGTGCTAGACGTATTGTCTTGCCTCCGCAATGTGGTCGTCGTAGTGGATCCAGGTCGTTCTCGTAGCTACAATCAGTGAAGTTCCGCTCGTAGTGGCCGCAGATTCGTTTCTCAGCATCCTGGTCTAAGTAGCTGGTCGTCATCGCCGTCGTGCTCGGTGCCGTGCTTCACAGACACGTTCTGGTAGTTGCTGCCAGCGTTCCGTATCCTGGCAGACGTGTTGTGTTGCCCAGCCCACTTGCCTGAAGCCTCTTGATTCAGAATTTGAAGCGTCCATTCCTGCAACCGCCGATGGCAGTACTCAGGGCGCCCTCCGCCTTGAGGATGGTCTCGCGGTCATCTTCCAGCACGGTTTTCCCAATTGTTCTTTGCCACAGTTAACGATTTTGTCGTGCCCGATGTGCCCATTTCCCAGCTGCCTTCTTCCAGCGCGGGCTCAAATAAGCATTTGGGCTTTGTCCATTATAATTGTTTTTCCCTTGTTTGCCAGTGCAGGGTTTGATCATAACGATGTCGGGCACGGGCTCGAAGCGGAGTCAAGCGGTCACCGAACTCATTCTAGACAAGCCCCAAAAGAAGTGCCACGCTTTCGGGGACAGTTCGGAAGGGGTGACACGCTGGGAATCCATGGATCCCACAGCAAATCGAATCGTTATTGTTACGCTTCCCAGGAACATGGACCAACACATGACCAATTAATGGCACGCTGAGATCAATAGTCGTTATTGTCCATACTGCGCGCATGTGGCATGCCTCTGGAGTGTCACGCATGTGATATCGCAGTACATGTTTCGAGAATGGAGTTTGCGATGGCAGCACTGTACGATGCAGCTTGCCAGCTGCACTGAGAGGCTGACGTCGCGATACAAGCGCGTATCGCTTATATAATCCGAGCAGAGAAAGAACCTTGTGGTGGTAGGACTGGTGGCGCATTTCGCCAAAGCAGCAGTGGGCGCTAACACTGAGATCGGTTTTGATGTGCCAGTTTCGCATTCGTGGAAAATCATGCTGGCCGATTCGTGATGTCGGGAACTGGACAGAGAACTGGAGCACAGTGGGCAGCCATTACTTTCCGAGTCTTGCATGCGTGGTTTTGGCGCGCTTCACGAATGCCTCAGAAGGCACTCTCTCAAGCGCTGGGGCAGCCCAGCCCGCTGCCCGTGCTGCTCATGCATCCCGGAATCCAGGGGCTGTCCGTCCATGTGTATTACGGGGGGGGCGTTCGGTAAGGAATGCGCCCAGGAGGCTGCAGACCCTGGAGGGTTCCTTCTCTGATGAGGTCGGCGGTGGTATCCACGGCCAATCCAAGATTAGAATTCCACCGGCTTCCAGACTCTGGATTCCTTATCCATTGCTTCCTTATCCAATGTCCTCACCGTATTGCGCTTACATATGTTGTTGGCAATGGGCATGCATCCGTCCGGCTCGGGTCCTACGAGCGACGCGATTCCCCAATGGCATACGTTGTTAACCAATTCACAGGGGGCTCGCACGCGTCCAATTCCGGTTTGCCGAGCGACGCGATGGCCCACTTGACTAACTTTCAGTCGGGCCTGTCCCTCTGCAGGGGGAATCTCCAAAAATAGTCCAAACATATTCTGGGGACATGTTTTGATCATTGTTGTGTATTTTCGGGGTACTGTGGGGGTATTTCTATTTTTCGTCAAAAATCCGCCTGTAGGGGGACACGCCCGACCGAAGACTAACTCAGTTCCCTTGCTCCGCCCTGTCTTTCACGCTCCTCCACACCCGCTGGTGCGAGCACGCGTTTTCTGGGGGGTTCTGCGCTTCGGGTGGACAGGGAGACGGCGTGACTGGCAGTCCGTTCTTACCTTTCTTGCCGACTGGGGCTTTACAGCACGGTCAGGGCCTGGTTCGGTGAGGGGCTCGTTTCCTTCGCTCCCGAATGCCTTCCCTTGCGTTTCGCTTTTGCGTCTCGCGGGTCGGGCTTCGGGACGGGCGAATGATGCCCCAGTCCTTTACGTGCCGATGCCTTTTTTGGCTCGAAGGTATTGGCCTACACCAAACAGTGACGGACGTGTGGAGAAGGTTAAAGCCTTCATCATCGTCCTTCATTCTTCGTTGCCGCCTTTACCAGCGGATACTCGGGAGGAGATCGGCCGTTCGGGCAACCCTTCCCCCGCACGCCCCGCGGGGTGGGGCGACCGCGATTTTCCAGAGGAGGCTTCAGCACAAAGCCAAGTCCTTGGCCAGCTGGCCAGGCTGGTAAGAGATGGCCCGCGCATATCTGCACAAATGGATTTGCCTGTCCATGGTGATTTCTTGTGAGGGCCTGTCGTCGGATACCATCTCGAAGGGACGCTGGCTGGGCGGCGAGCGAGGCTGGGTGGAGCCACCTGTTGGCTCGGCCCCGGCTCGTTCCGGCACTTTTGGCTCGGCTCGACTCGCCAGGGCGGCGCCGAGGAAGTCCCCTGTGGGGGAGGGGGGGGACCACGACCGCAAGGGGGGCGCTGGCTGGGTGGCGAGCGAGGCCGGGCGGAGGCAGAGCTCGCGTTCGTGAGCGCGGTCGCCCAGGCCCGTGGCTCCGCGGCAGGCCTCGGGCGCGCTCTGGTACGCCGTGGTGGTTCAGCATGGGCGGGAAGAGGACGTGCCGAGGGCAAGAAGGTGCAGGTCTTGAGCTGAACGGTGTGTTGGCGACTTCGTGGGCCGTTTCTGGTTTGATGTCGTCTCGCAGCAGATCGGCGGAGCACGGCAGAACGACGTAAGCCGAACACACCGCGAGACCGAGCAAGCATTGCTTAGGCCGAGCCCCACAAGAGTGTCCTGAGGTGTTCCTCTGCGCTCTTCGGCCTCCCAGGGGCCTTCCCGGGCCCCCAGGATGAGGACATGTCGTTTCGGGGGAATTCCTCAGGCGTCCAGGATCCATCTCTCTCAGGAGCCCTTCCCAGACATCTGGGGCGTTTCTGTTTGTAATGCGGGGTGCCAGCTTTTGTTTGCCAGCCCTCGCGCTCGCCGGCCCCTTCGCATCGTCTGCGTTCTTCGGAGGTGGCGCAGCTGGTGCTGCAGCAGGTCAAGGAGTCCGAGTCCGAGAGAACCCGAGGGACCGGAAGCACCAATCTTCATATTCCTCCCCTCTTCTGCTCTTGCTCCTGCTCCGCTTCCTCTTCCTTTGCCGCCTTGCTTCTCCTCCTCCATCCCTCTCCCTCATACGTAACTCCCCCTTGTCGCACCCCCAGGCGCCCCCTGATGTGTGGGTAGGGCGGGCGGGCCGTTTCGCTGGAGATTTTATCGTTAAGTTTGCTCTTGGCGCTTAACGTGAGCAACGGTTTCAACTGGAAGGCGGGCGGTTTTCGATCCTCGGTGCTCGCCGTAGCGCCTCGCGCGCTCGTCTTGAGCAGTTGCAGCAGCTATGTGTACTTCGCCGAAGCCCCGCGCACACTCGTTTCAATGGTATGAGCTTCAAAGATGCAGGGTGTTTCCTTTTCGAGACTTGTTATCTCGTTCGTGACGCGCACATACGTCTTACAGTTCAGGATCAGCTTCAAGGATGGAGGGTGGTTCCTTCTCAAACTGTGGTTCTCGCCTGAGCGCGGCGCACATTCGCCATACCAGCTCGCAACAGCTTCAGAGATGGAGTGACGGGCGGATTGTTTTCAAGATGTGGCCAGCTCGCCTCAGCAGTGTGGCCTCCAGATGATGTGGTTGCGCACATTCGTTTTCAAATTTTGCCGCAGTCTCAGGGATGGACAAAGGGGTTGTTTTCGAAGCGTAGACCTGGCCTCCCTGCCGTGCGCTTTCGACGTACAACTTTGCAGCGGCCTCAGGCATGGGAAGGGGGACAGCGCCAGCATGTGGCACTCTCGCACGAACGCCGCGCTCCTGCGTTTTGCTGCAAGTGTGCAGCAGTTGCGGGGATGGAAACAAGGCGTGGTTCTCAAAATGGTGCCCTTCGTAGGCCTGGAGGTCGACACCAGCACCAACATCGGCGGTGTCCCTCCACCGAGGGAAGAGGATCCCGATATCGGCAATGGTGGTCATATTCTGGCTGCCGAGATGACCGACATATGACCACCTACACCGAAATCTAGGATCATCTTCCCCCTGTGGAGACAATCCCTTGTGTTGGTGTTGGTGCTCGTTTCCAGGCCTCCAAGCCCTGGCATTGCCGCCGCGCGCATTCGTGTCAACATGCTGGTGCAGCGTCGAGGACGACAGGCTGTTCTCGTTCAAAGCGGGGCTCGTTCGTCTTGGCGTCACGAATCTTCGTCGGGCGATCTTGCAGCCGTTTCAGATGTTGAGGTGGGCACGTGCCGTTGTTTCCCCAACCATCCTGTGGTGTTGGGTCCTCGTTTTGAAGAGGCGGCGCGCCGCGTTCCTCCCGCCTCCCTCCTCCCCCTCCTCCTCCTCCTCCTCCTCCTCCTCCTCCTCCTCCTCCTCCCGCGGGGACCGCCACCCGTTTTGGCACACCTTCACAACCCTCACATGGTTCGTGCCTTTTTTTTACATGGGCTCTTGCCCGCGCGGCGCGCGCATTTATTTTTTGGCTTGAAAGCAGCCAGGCATATGCAGGATGGCCGATTGCTGTGGTTCCACGCATGCAGCGCTGCACGGGGCTTGGGCCACCGTAGGCCCGCCTCCTCCGTCTCATATGCTTCGCGGTACTCGCGACTGCATATGGTTGGGTCTTTTGTCAGGCGCATTACACGGGACTCTGGCCCGCGCGGCGCGCGCATTTGTTGCATAAACCAGCCAGACGTGCAGGATGGTCGAATTGCTGTGACCCCACGCATGATGCAGCGCTGCACAGGTCCAGAGAGGCTCTGTCACAGCGTGAAGGTCCGGAAGGTTCTAAAGAGGGGGTTTTCCAGAGAGCCCCCCAGGGGCCTCGGAACGTCGTCAAAACAGGGGGTGCAAAGCCCCTGGGGGACCCTTCCTGGAAAACCCCCTCCCCACAAACCCCTTTTGGAACCCTCCAGAGGTTGGCGCTCGGTTGTCCCTCGAAGTTCGTGGCCACGAGCGCACAGCTCTGCAACAGTTGTACACGTTGTTCGTTTCTAATTCTTCTGAAGTTTTTTGATTTTTGCTTGGGGCCAAGATCCTTTCATTTCCACTTGTTCTATCCTGGGCCTCTTCCTGGCCACTGGGGGGCCAGGAACAATTTGAAACGAACGCAATCAGAAATGAGTACGGTTAGGAATGAACGACGTGTGCGGATGGAGGGGATCGAACAGAAAAGGTGTCGTTGGGCGCCTCGTTGGGCTGCACAGCCAAGGTTTTGTCGCTGCCCGCCCGCCAGACAGGACTGCGAGCCCGAAGCACAGGGTCTCGCTGTGGCCGGGCCTCGAGCGCGCGTACAGCTGGAGCGAGTCCGTGCTCCCGGCTGGGAGGGGGGAGGGGAAAGGTGACCCCACCCCCCGGCCAGGGCCCCCAGTCCCGACCTGGTGATCCAGGGGGTCCTGGCTTGGGGTCCGGGCGTTTTTGTTGGTGTTCCTCGGAGCCAGAAGCCTTCCTCATTCCCGGGGAGGACCCCCTCGATCACCAGGTCGGGAGTGGGGGTCCTGGCGGCTGGGGGTGGTGATGGGGGTTTTGTGCTGTCCTGAGAAGGGGGGGCGGGAGAGAGGGGGAGGAAAGAGAGGGCTCGCGCCATATCTGACATCCTGCCCCTCATACCATTCCCTTATCACGAAGGGGACTGAGCAGAGCAGAGGGCACTCGCCCAGCCGCTAATCATCACGTTGACGCGCCCGCGCCCTGGCCATTCGGCGCGGGGCTGGGTGCGAGGGGGGGGGCGTATGCGGTGTATCTGCTTCGCCCAGGGCAAGCCGAAATCTCCAAGCATGGGACTTTGGGCCAGAGTCAGAACCAGGAGTGGGCGGAGGAGGAGAAGGAGGAGGAGGAGGATGAACCAACACAACTACCTCCTACTGTGCTGCCGAGTGTGCCTTCATCGCCCGCCACTGGTGGTCAACCGTGCCACACAGCCAGCCGACGCCTACTTGACGCCGCGCCACGATCCCTTCCTCGCCTCTCCCCTCCTTGATTGTGTTACGTCACCTCCCTCCCCCCTCCCCTCTTCCTGCTGTCTGCCTGTCGCCGTTCTCCTTTGAATTTTTGTTCTCCCCACCGCTGGCGACTCCTGGAGTGGACGCTCCAAGAGTCGCCCAGCTGATCGCCCCCCCAGGGCCAATCGGCCCTGGGGTGAGGGCTGCGTCCGACCGACGCTCGCGCCTTCAGAGTGTCAGCGTTTCAGGAAGAGGTGGCGGCGGAGGAACAGGAAGATGAGGAGGACGAGGAGCACGAGGTTCCGCGTCCGCGGTGAATCCTCCCCCGTCCACCCCCTGCACATTTAGCCCGAGCCCCCTGCCCGCCCGCCCCCTCGTGCCCCTGTCTCACCGCGGCCCGCTTTGACACTCTGGCTCCTCCGACTCCCGCCGTCGCCGACCTTGCTTTGGCCTCTGCGGGGCCGTTCGGCGACCGTGGCATCCGCCCCGTTTCCTCGGGCAGTGCCGAGAGAGGGTCGCCACTACGGGCGGCGCAAGCTCCTCCTGAGGATCGAGGTTCGAAGATTTAAGGGTCGAGGGATTCTTTGGGCGTTTTTAGGCGTCTCGGGGGGTCATGGGCGGCTGTGGGGGGTCCTGAGGGGTCGCCCTCCTCAAGGAGTTGGCGATCCTCCTACGGTCGGGAACTTGTTGACAGCGTGTCGCTTAGCCTGTTCTGGCCCACCACGCTTCGGCGCGACACTTCATCCACACCGCGGTCCCCAGGCGTCAACGTCCCGGGGGTTCCCGAGCCTCCCGCTCCGCGCAGCGGAGCGGCACGCTGTCCGCTCGCAGGGCACAGCGTGGCGCCGGGGCCGCCGGGGCGACAGGCTGCGCAAAACAAGCTCCTGGCCGCAGCAGTGGCCCCTCCTCCCCTGGCTGGGTCTGGTCTCCCTCCACGCCAGAGCCTGGACCCCCCCCCCGCTCCCCTGGCGGGGCCCCAGGGTGCCTCGCGCAGCGCGCCTGGGCCGCAGTCTCGCTGCTCGTCCTGCGCCCACGTGCCTGTGGAACGCGGCGGAGGAGCGGAGGGAAGAGAAAGAGGGGATTGAGGAGGACGAGGCGGGGCATTTGTCAGGCGGAGGAGGAGGAGGAGGAGGAGGAGGAGGAGGAGGAGGAGGAGGAGGAGGAGGAGGAGGAGGTCAAGATGCAAGTCTCAGCAGCGAAAAAGAGGAGTGCAGCGAGGTCCGCGCGAGTGCCTGAGCTCACGTGCAGCGAGTGCAGGGAGGAAGCATGGGAGGGAAGGGACGGGAGGATGGAGGAAGAATGGAGGAATAAGGAGGAGGGAAGGGCTGGGATGGCGGGAGGGGAGGCGGGAGGGATGGGAGGGAGGAAGGAGGGGATGGGGGGGGGAGGAGACGGGGAGGAGGAAGGACGGGTTCTCTGTTCGGTCAGCATGCCAGTTTATTCAAATGCACCTTTTTCGATCATCTTCCCCAGGTTGGCGAGCGCGTTCGTGGCCGACGCAACGGTTCACGAGAAACCCAACCAAGACATGCTCACATTCTCAAAAGTTCGGGGCGCGACGTCTGACGAGCTCGGCGCGATCAGCGTTGGTATCTCTGGGCGCCGAACGCCCTGAGCGAAAACGGCACGTGCTGGGCATGCGCCAGGGATGAGGGGAGGGAGGAGGGGAGAAGGGGGATGGGAGGAAGGAGGGAGGAAGGAGGGGAGGTGGGCAGAGAGGGGAGGAGGAGAGGAAGGAGGGGAGGGGGGGAGAGAGAGTGGCGGCTGCCTCCCCTCTCCGCGTGCTCCTGCCCGTCCGGCGAGGTCCGAGGACGGGACCGAGACGACCAGCCAGTGGAGCGCGCCGGCCGGAAGACGCGGGCGCCTCGGCCTCGTGTCCGAGGTGACGATACGGGCGAATAGCCCACGGGGGAGCAATACACACAGGGGCGCCGATGGTGCATGTCTTCGGCGTGGCTCCCAGAGGGTTGCGTGTAATGCCCGCCCCTGGGCTATTCGACCTGACCGTCGCCTCCTCCTCCTCCTCCTCCTCCTCCTCCTCCTCCTCCACCTCCCGGTTGGCAGGCATATCGTCGCAGTCCTGGGGTCCTCCCGCTCTCTCTCGCCCCTCCTAGCTCGGGCTTCCAGGGTCAGAGGAAAGAGAGGCGACACCACGACCGAGGGGGGCACCTCCAGCGAAGGGAGGGGCACGATGCCTCCCCGAGCTGAGGGTAGGGTTAAGTCGGGCCTGTCCCTCTAAAGGGAAAATATTCGAAAAGAGTGAACAACAAAAACATCTGGAGGCCATTTTTGAACATATGTTTGGAGCATGTTCCATTCTTCGTCGAAAATCCGCCTGTAGGGGGACACGCCCGACCTAGAGGTAGAGGGGATGTCTCCAGCGAGAAGGAGGGGGGCCACGCCACCAGGACCCTCCCCGGCGCCTCGCGCTGGCGGTGGCGGTGCCGCCCTTCCCGTGCTCCTGCCAGGGGACTGTGATGGGCTTGTTTTCCACCACCACCACCACCACAATTAGTTGGAGGGGGAAGAGGAGGAGGAGGAGGAGGAGGAGGAGGAGGAGGAGGAGGAGGAGGAGGAGGAGGAGGAGGAGGAGGAGGAGGAGGAGGAGGAGGAGGAGGAGGGAGGAGGAGGAGGAGGAGGAGGAGGAGGAGGGAGGAGGAGGAGGAGGAGGAGGAGGAGGAGGAGGAGGAGGAGGAGGAGGAGGAGGAGGAGGAGGAGGAGGAGGAGGAGGAGGAGGAGCAGGAGGAGTGGAGGAGGAGGGAGGAGGAGCAGGAGGAGGAGGAGGAGGAGGAGGAGGAGGAGGAGGAGGGGGCGGAGGAGGAGGAGGGAGGAGGAGGAGGAGGAGGAGGAGGAGGAGGAGGAGGAGGAGGAGGAGGAGGAGGAGGGAGGAGGAGGAGGAGGAGGATGAGGAGGAGGAGGAGGAGGAGGAGGAGGAGGAGAAGAGGAGGAGGAGGAGGAGGAGGAGGAGGAGGACGAAGAGGAGGAGGAGGAGGAGGAGGAGGAGGAGGAGGAGGAGGAGGAGGAGGAGGAGGAGGAGGAGGACCCCCTCCCCCTCCAACTTATGGTGGTGGTGGTGGAAAACAGGCCCATCAGACTGGGGCGCACCGACGCCCGTCGCGGCGAATCCCTCGGCGCCCTGCGCACGTCGCTCCGTCGCCCGCCGGCGGCGCGGCGTGCAGCGGGTCCCGCCGCGAGGGCATCCGCCCGCTCACGTTCGTGGGACGTGGGCCCGCACGTTTTTTAGTGCGGAAGCGCGCCTGCGCGATGCGCTGCGCTCTGCTCGGGGCTCAGCCGCCGCGCGGTCGAGGACTCGGCTAAGAAACCCCCTTCCAGAAGAGCGGGGCCGGCGTTTCTCAACCAGTCTGCCGGATTGCTGGCTCTGTCCTTTGAGCCAGTTTCTTCAGCACGTTCGCCGTTCCAGCGTGAAAGGCAGACATTGACCCAGGTCAGGACTTCTGGAGACCCCGCACTGAAACAACAAATCAGGACGTCGCATGTCTGGTCTTCTCTCTCCCAGCCGCCCCCCGCGCCTGGGGCCCGTCGCGCCTGCGCCTGCGCCCCGCGAGTAACCCTCGGAGGTTGATAGACCTCCTGCCCTGACACGTCGATTAGCGAAGTGGCCGTTTTCGGTGCGCGAGAGGGCGTCGCGGCCGCCAGTTTTGCGGGTCCAGGTCCGTCGGTTTCGGTACCAGGCCGTTTTCACTAAAGGGTGGTCTGCCAAAGGGAGGCTTGTCCGCCGCCGAAGCCCGACCCCCGCGCCCGCGTCCGCCAGCGCTGCCGATGAGCAGAAGCGCTGCCACGCTCTTGGACGGGCGCGCCAGGGCTTCGGCGGGGGAGCCCCGCCGTGGGCGCCTCGTGGGCGCCCCCCGTGCGCTGGCTGGGCGGTCCGCGCGCTCGGCTGGCGCCAGAGGCCGTGGGCGCTGCGCGGGCGCCGTGGGGCTTGCTCGTGGAGCCGTCTGGGAGTCGGGGGCGGCCCAGCACTGGCTCCGGCCAGCAGCAAGGGGCGGCATCGTTTTATTACTGGGGGCCCCCGAACGGTGTGGTGACCACACGGTGTGGTGAGTCGGTGGGGGTTCGGGGTCACCACACGGTTTTGGGACTCGAGTCCCTCTCCGAGGATGTCTCGGGCGACAGGGGCCTCCAGGGTCCCAAAACCGTGCGGTGACGGACCGTGCGGTAAGGTCTTGGGGTATTTCGAGGTCACCGCACGGTCCGTCATCGCACCCTTTCGGGACTCCACCATCCCCATCCCCTTCCCCTTCGAGACCCCCACCAAATTACCACCCCATTTGGGGATACACCCCTCGAAACCCGAAGGGGACGGCCCATATCCCCATCGAGGGGGGGGTAAATCGACCAGCGGGGCCCAGGCCACGCCGCTGGGGACGGGGAAAGGTTGAACGATACTCAAAGGGCGGGTAGGGTCGAGGCCCTGGGTTCGGCAAGGGTTTTGACCTGTCTCGGCCTCGGGGGGCCGTTCTCGAGCCCCGGGGCCATGAACCATTGCTCCAGGGTGCAAAGCCGCACCAGATGGGCGGAGGGGTCCAGGGTCCAGGGGCTGATTTTGGGCGGAACTGGCGTCGCCCCCCACTTCCTGACCGATTCGATTTTCTGGGGTCCCAACCAGTTCATTCAGACTCCCCAGCCGTCTGCAAGTTTGCTCTGCATGCGGACGGGAACTTTGGCTTAGCGTGTCGCACCGCCGGTTCTGGCCCATCGCGCCCAAGCGCGACACGATATCCGCAGCCCAGTCCCAAGGCGTCAACGTCGTCCCGAGCCTTTCCCAGCCTCCCGCCCCGCGGAGCGGAGCGACACGCTATCCGCTCGCACGGCATAGCGTGTCTCTGGGGCGGCCGCCGCGACACGCTACGCCAAAGTTCCCAACCGTCGCTTGTACCACACAGGGTTCACCACATTGCTTCTGCTACCTTTCTCAGATGAAGTCGTGGGGTTGAGAAGCAGATGTGGGGGCCAGAGTAGGTGCAATAGTATTTACTGTTGGTTTTGCATGCATGCAATCGTTAGCGCTTTGGACGCACTAGTTGCGCGTGCATGCAATCGTCTATTCTCCCAATCAATGTAGTTTACGCCTTCTGCAGTGGCCTGTACCCCCAGCAATAGTTCGCGCAACAGTTTGCGCAAACGAACCTATTGCACCCCTAATCCCTCCCATGGCCGTTGCCCCCATCGCTCCGGTCTCAAACCTTGCAACCATAGATCGATCAGGTCACCCCCGAGTCCTGTCAAGGCTCAGATTCGTTTTGCTACCCTGAGGACGTGCACTTGCATCGTACTCATTGCTTGTTGTTGCATTTGCGCGCAAGTAAGCGCAATCGTGCAAGTATAGGCATGTTTCTCTGGGTTGACTCGCGGCCGCTGACGTGCGCGTCGCCATCAGTGCCATTCGCTATGCGTTCCTGTCGTAGTTGTTGTCTTCGTACTGGGATGCGTGTGGCTAGCTTCTGTCTTAGTTTTTGATTGGATGCCGGTGTCTATAGCAGACGCATATCCTCAGCGCAGCACTCCCATAGCAGACCTGTGTCTATGATATTAAAGGGGCCCGCGCACCCATGCAACATTTCGTGCTCCTCTGTTCTCCCGGCCCCTGCTCTGCCCTGCTCACACCTAGCTTATTTCTAGGTATTCGAAAGTTCTTTGACTTTTAGGGGGCCAAGATCCTTTCATTTCTAACTGTTCTATCCTGGGCCTCTTCCTGGCCACTAGGGGGCCCGGAACACTTAGAAACGAGCACAAGAAAAACTGAGCTCGATCAGAAATGAACGACGTGTATCCTTCCGTCTCCCCTCCCGCCGTACGCCCAATTCTGCATGTCGCTCTGCCTCGGCGCTCGCGCCGAGGGGCGAAGCGAGGGAGAGAGAGCGTGCGCCTGCTCAGGAGGCGGCTGGACGTCGGGGGAGGCTGAGGCAGCTGCTCGGGAGGCCAAGAGGCCTGTGATCCTTCCGAGCACGCCCGCCACCCTCTGCCTTCCCCTGGGCGCGCCGCCGGCCCACTCATCCTCGCATCGGATATCGGCGAAGCGTTTTCTCGCTTGGGCGATCGGCTGCTCGCGACGGTGAAGGACGGCGCGCGACTGGTGCTGTCAGCGGACCAACCGTCGACGCCGATGTCAGCGCGCGACGCTGCCGTGTTTGAGTTCCCCCAGGAAATATCGGCGAACTCTTCTCGCGCCCAGGGGGCCGCAGGTCTTCTGCGCCTTCTGAGAGGGCCCGCCCCCGCTGCGACCCCCCCCCTGGGCGCGCCGGCGGCCCTCGCTCCTCGTGATTTCTCTTCCTCCTCCTCCTCCTCCTCTTCCTCCTCCTCTTCCTCCTCCTCCTCCTCCTTCCCCTCCTCCTCCTCCTCCTCCTCCTCCTCTTCCTCTTCCTCTTCCTTCTCCTCCTCCTATTACCCCATCCTCCTCCTCCTCCTCCTCCTCCTCCTCCTCCTCCTCTGCCCCCCCATCCTCCTCCTCCTCCTCCTGCCGACCGGTCCTGCCAAGGCCGCGGCAGTGCGGCTTCTTCCTCGCAGCCCCGGAGCCCGAGGCAGCAGGACCCCGGCCCTCCCAGGCGGGAATGTCTTTCCATAAGTCCAGGGCTTAACATAAACGCCCCTACCCTGGTCTACGAGGCGCTGCGCGCTGAACCTCCTGTAGGCTGACAGGGTAAGCCCTGCGCATCCCGCGTGTCGCGCGACGTCCTGGCGGCTCTCTGGCCTTTGGGGGCTCCCAGGAGGTTTGCAGACCACGCACTCGTAACCCAGGGTAGGGGCGTGTCTTCCACCCCTCCAATAAAAACCACCGCCTGGGGGATGGACCTTCGGGGGCCTCGGCAGGCGGTGGGCATGGATGTATCCGTGCACCCTCTGGGCCCCAAGTGTTCGGGGGTGGACAGACCTCCTGCCCTGACACGTCGCTTAGCAAACTGGCCGTTTTCGGTTCGCGAGAGGGCGTCGCGGCCGCCACTCTTGCGGGTCCAGGTCCGTCGGTTTCGGTCCCAGGCCGCTTGTATTAAAGGGCCTGTTGATGGGCCTGTTTTCCACCACCATGGGGCCCCAAGTTGATGGGCCTGTTTTCCACCACCACCACAATAAGTTGGAGGAGGGAAGGAAGCGGAGGACGAGGTGGAGGATAAGGAGGAGAACAGGAGGAGGAGGAGGAGGAGGAGGAGGAGGAGGAGGAGGAGGAGGAGGAGGAGGACGAGGACGAGGACGAGGAGGAGGGGGTCCGTAGCCATTTTGGCTCAAGCGTTCTCTTCCCATTTTGGCTCTAACTGGTTCCCCCCCGATGTGCGTCGCGTTGTCTGGGACAGCGGGTTTTTGAGCTGAGGAGAGGACTCTTGGTTGCGGTGCGCACCCTCGTGGAGTGCGATGCCAGGACGACGGTCGTGGGCAGGACAGCTCAGGCACGGATGGAGAGACAACGTTTATTGGACCTCACATTCGAAGCCAGAGCATTCCTTCGTCGAGACACCTACCTACCTCGCAAGTGCAGTCAAGGCGCTCATCCGCGGGAAGGTGGCACACGAGTCGTTAAACATTTGGAATGGCGCTCATAAGCCCAACCTTGGCGAGGCTATAAATACGGCCCGAGAGGGCGGACTGCACTCTCAAGCGGTGGCGATGGCACGCCAGGCAAAGGTTGCGGTAGACAAGGGTCGGCATCAACCCACCAAGCAGACGACGAACGTCATCAGCTACAATGCTGTGGCGAGCATGTGCGAGAGTGGGCGGCAGTGGCAGCAATGATTGGGAGCTGGCGCATCAACCAGCACCAGCTGCTACAGTGTGGGCACAGCAGCATGCGATAATGGGCAGCAGTGGCAGCAATGGCAGCAGGCTTCGTTCGAGAAGGCGCCATCAGCTACAGTACTAAAAGCAACCAGACGTAATCAGCTAGAGCGCGAGAGGCAGTCCGCAGTGGAGGCCTCGGAGCAACCAGATGTCATCAGCTACAGTATTGGGGCCAGATCGCGCGAGAACGGACGGCAGTGGCAGCAGGCTTCGTGCGAGATGGCGACATGAGCTACAGTACTAGAAGCAGCCAGACGTAATCAGCTAGAGCGCGAGAGGAAGTCCGTAGTGGAGGCCTCGGTGCAGCCAGACGTTATCAGCTACAGTACTGGGGCCAGATCGCGCGAGAACGGACGGCAGTGGCAGCAGGCTTCGTGCGAGAAGGCGTCATCAGCTACAGTACTCGAAGCAGCCAGACGCAATCAGTCAGAGCGCAAGAGGCAGTCCGCAGTGGAGGCCTCGGAGCAACCCGGGTCCATCAGATACAGTGCTGGGGCCAGATCGTGCCAGTATGGGCAGCAATGGCAGCAGGATTTGTGCAGTGTGGCGTCATCAGCTACAATACCAGAAGCAGCCAGACGTACTCAGCTAGAGCGCGAGAGGCAGCCCGTAGTGGAGGCCTCGGTGCAGCCAGACGTCATCAGTTGCAGTACTGGGGTCAGATTGTGCGAGAAGAGGCAGCAGTGGCAGCAGGCTTCGTGCGAGAAGGCGTCATCAGCTACAGTCTTTGAAGTAGCCAGACTTCACCTCAGCTGCAGCGCAGGAAGAAATCAGAAATGGAGGCCTCAATGCAGTCAGGCGCCATCAGGGGACCAGGTCGTGCGAGAACGAACGGCAGTGGCTGCAGGCTTCGTGCAAAGAGGTGTCACCAGAGCGCAGTAGGCAGCCACGCTGTGAGGCCATGATGCAACCAGGCGACATCCGCTACGCTACTGGGGCCTGCTCGTGCGAGAACGAACAGCAGTGGCAGCAGGCTGCGCGCGAGAAAGCGTCATCAGCCGCCGTGCGAGTGGCGGACGGGCGTCACCAGCTACAGAGCGAAAGGCAGCCAGTAGCAGCTCGGGCACAGCCAGACGCCATCAGCCACAGCATTGGGGCTAGACCGTGCGAGAACGGACGGCAGCGGCCGCGAGCTGTGAGCGAGAAGACGTCAGCAGCCACAGAGCAGGGCGCAGACACACGTCACCAACTGCAGCGCGAGAACCAGCCAGAAGTGGAGGCCTCAACGCAGCCAGACGGCATCAGCTAGAGGGCGAAGCCTGCTCGCGTGAGAACGGGTGGCAGCGGCAGGAGGCATATGCGTTGCCGGCCATGGGGCGAGAGTGCCAGCCGTTGCGCGGGCAGCAGTTAGATGTCGAGGCCTCGGCGACAGAGTCGGAGGCAGCCAGGCGTCATCAGCTGCTGCGCCAGAAGCATGTAGAAGTGCAGTCTTCATGGCAGCCAGACGTCATCAGTTACAGCATTGGAGCCAGCTCGTGCGAGAACAAACAGCCGTGGCAGCGTGCCGCGTATGAGGTCGTGTCATCAGCTACCGTGCGAGAGGCAGCCGTGCGTCATCAGCTACAGCGTGATAAGTAGCCATCAGTGCCCCCGACACAGCCAAACGCCACCAGCTACAGCGCTGGGGCCAGGGCGCGTGCGAACGCACGGCAGCGGCTGCAAACTTTGCGCGAGAAGACGGCAACAGCCTCAGAGCAGGGCGCGGTCAGACGTCATCAGCTGCAGCGCGAGAAGGAACCATAAGAGGAGGCCTCATTGAAGTCAGACGTCATCAGCTACAGCACTGGGGCCTGCCCTTGCGAGAACGGATAGCAGTAGCAGCGGGTTTCGCGCGAGGAGGCGCCGTCAGTTACAGGGCGAGAAGTGCCCAAACGTCATCAGCCATCACAGGATGCCGTTGATGAGTATGGTGCTCTCGCCGACTTCATTGACGCCTTCCGTCAAAATTGTGTCAGCCAGGCTCAATGTTTGAAATGCGAGACCACTGTATCTTTCGAGCGGCTACTTCGCCATTGCTTGGCTTGTCGCCAGATCCATTGCGAGGGCCATGACCTGGCCACCATGCTACACAGCATGCGCCAGACCTTTGTTGACCAAAACTCCACGGTCGGTTTCGTGAAGCTCGTGCATTTGGGCAGCGCCTGGGCGATCATGGTCGAGTGGCGCGACCCAGAGGCCAGAAGGGCCCCAGGTTAGCCCGGTCGGCGGCAGCGCCTGCGCGAGACCGACGAGGTGTGAGGGGAGGCCGCCTAGCTGGACATTGCTTGTGCTGGATTCGGCTCGTTCCCCACATGCGTCGTGGGGTTATGGTTTTCTTCCTTGCCGCGTCGCACCCGCGTCTCCTCACGCCTCCCCTTCTCCATCCTCTCCTCCTCCATCGCGCTGCACGGCAGGGGGCTCGGCAGGGCGCAGGGCGCGGCAGGCGCGGCACTTTCTCGTCACCAGAGGGTGTGCGCAAGGGGCAGTCCCGCAGCGCGGCCTCTATGCGTGCCAGTCTCCCAGGGCGTGGCAGGCACTTTCTCGACTCCGCGGGTGCTCAGGGGGTGGTCTCCCTATCCATTTGAGGCTCGCAAGGCGTGGCAGGCGTGGCACTTCCTCGACACCACAGGGGCGGCGCTGGGGGTGGTCTCCCTGTCCGTTTCGGGCCCGGAAAGCGCGGCGGGCGTTGCAGTTCCTCGACGCCATAGGGGGTGCGCTGGGGGTGGTCTCCCTATCCGTTTCGGTTTCGCAAAGCGTGGCAGGCGTGGCATTTCCTCGACACCGTAGGGGGTGCGCTGGGTGTGGTTGCCCTATCCGTTGCGGGCTCGCAAAACGTGGCAGGCGTGGCAGTTCCTCGACACCACAGGGGCAGCGCTGGGGGTGGTCTCCCTATCCGTTTCGGGCTCGGAAAGCGCGGCAGGCGTGGCATTTTCTCGACACCATAGGGGGTGCGCCGGGGGTGGTCTCCCTATCCATTTCGGGCTCGCAAGCCGTGGCAGGTGTGCCACTTCCTCGACACCACAGGGGCTGCGCTGGGGGGGTCACCGTATCCGCTTCGGTTTCGCAAAGCGCGGCAGGCGTGCCACTTCCTCGACACCACGGGGTGCGCTGGGGGTGGTCTCCTATCCGCTTCGGGCTCGCAAAGCGTGGCAGGCGTGGCAGTTCCTCGACACCACAGGGGCTGCGCTGGGGGGGTCTCCTATCCGCTTCGGGCCGGAAAGCGCGGCAGGCGTGGCAGTTCCTCGACATCTCAGGGGGTGCACTGGGGGTGGTCTCCCGTCCGTTTCGGTTTCGCAAAGCGTGGCAGGCGTGGCACTTCCTCGACACCATAAGGGGTGCGCTGGGGGTGGTCTCCCTATCCGCTTCGGGCTCGCAAAGCGTGGCAGGCGTGGCAGTTCCTCGACACCACAGGGGCAGCGCTGGGGGTGGTCTCCCTATTCGTTTCGGGCTCGCAAAGCGCGGCAGGCGTTGCACTTCCTCGACACCATAGGGGGTGCGCTGGGGGTGGTCTCCCTATCCGTTTCGGTTTCGCAAAGCGTGGCAGGCGTGGCAATTCCTCGACATCTCGGGGGGTGCGCTGGGGGTGGTCTCCCACTCCGTCTCGGTCTTGCAGAGCGTGGCAGGAGTTGCACTTTTTCGACAACGCAGGGGGTGCGCTGGGGGTGGTCTCCCTATCCGTTTCGGGTTCGCAAAGCGTGGCAGGCGTGGCACTTCCTCGACACCATAGGGCGTGCGCTGGGGGTGGTCTCCCTGTCCGTTTCGGGTCCGCAGGGCGTGGCAGGAGTTGCACTTCCTCGACACCACAGGGGCTGCGCTGGGGGTGGTCTTCCCATCGTTTTCGGGTTCGCAAAGCGTGGCACGCTTGGCTTCTCCTCGACATCTCAGGGGGTGCGCTGGGGGTGGTCTCCCTATCCGTTTCGGTCTTGCAAAGCGTGGCAGGCGTTGCACTTCCTCGATACCACAGGGGCTGCGCAGGAGGTGGTCCCTGAGCGCGGCCGCTATGCACGACGGTCGTCCAGGGCATAGCAGGCGTGGCATTTTCTCGACGCCAGACGGGGTGCGCAGGGGGTGGTCCCTCACCGCGGCCGCTATGCGCCGGTCGTCCAGGGCATGCAGGCGTGGCACTTTCTCGACACCATGGAGGGTGCGCAGGGGTTGGTCCCTCACCGCGGCCACTACGCACGACGGTCGTCCAGGGCATAGCAAACGTGGCGCTTTCTCGACGCCAGACGGGGTGCGCAAGGGGTGGTCCCTGACCGCGGCCGCTATGCGCGCCGGTCGTCCAGGTCACCGGGCTCGCAAAGTGTGGCTGTCGCGGCGCTTCTCCTCTTCCACCTCTCCTCTTGAGTGGCGTCACCAACGGTATCGGCGGGGCAACGGCCACCAACATCATTCTCACATGCTTCACTTCAGCTATCATCACTCCAGCCATCATATAAGTATGTGGGGTTCCTCGGTAGCGTAATGTTGTTCCCCCGTTGCCCTCGTCGCCTTGCCGGGTTCGGCTCGTTTCACGTCTGGCCCCAGCGGCGGGTGCCCTCGGGTCCCCATCGCTTTGCATTGTTTTTACCCTTGGGAGAAGCTGCTTGAAGCAATCGCCAATCGATCGGGAGACAGAGAGACAGAGAGAGAGAGAGAGGAGGAGGGGGAGGAGAGGAGGAGGAGGGGAGGAGGAGGAGGAGGAGGAGGAGGAGGAGGAGGTGGAGGGGGGTCCGTAACCATTTTGGCTCAAGCGTTTTCTTTCCAACTTAGCTCTAACTGGTTGCCCCCCGATGTGCGTCGCGTTGTCTGGGGCTGCAGGTTTTTGAGCTGAGGAGAGGACTCTTGGTTGCGGTGCGCACCCTCGTGGAGTGCGATGCCTGGGCGACGGTCTTGGGCAGGACAGCTCAGGCACGGATGGAGAGACAGCGCCAATTGGACCTCACATTCGAAGCCAGATCATTCCTTCGTCGAGACACTTACCTACCTCGCTAGTGCAGTCATGGCGTTCATTCGCCGGAAGGTGGCACACGAGTCGTTCGACATTTGGAATTGCGCTCATAAAAACAATTTTGGCGAGGCTATAAATGGCGCCCGAGAGGTCGGACTGCACTCTCAAGCAAATGCGATGGCACGCCAGGCAAAAGTTGCGGCAGACAAGGTTCCGTATCAACCCACCAAGCAGACGATGAACGTCATCAGCTACATTGCTGTGGCGAGCATGTGCGAGAGTGGGCGGCAGTGGCAGGGATTGGGGGTTGGCGCATCAACCAGCCCCAGCTGCTACAGCGTGTGGACAGGAGCATGCGAAAATGGGCAGCAGTGGCAGCAGTGGCAGCAGGCTTCGTGCGAGAATGCGTCATCAGCTACAGTACTAGAAGCAGCCAGACGTAACCAGCTAGAGTACGAGAGGCAGTCCGTACTGGTGGCCTCGGTGCAGCCAGACGTCATCAGCTACAGTACTGGGGCCAGATCGGGCGAGAACGGGCAGAAGTGGCAGCGGGCTTCGAACGGATGGCGACATGAGCTACAGTACTAGAAGCAGCCAGACGTAATCAGCTAGAGCGCGAGAGGCAGTCCGCAATGGAGGCCCCGGAGCAACCAGATGTCATCAACTACAGTACTGGGGCCAGATCGTGCTAGAATGGGCAGCAGTGGCAGCTGGCTTCGTGCGAGAAGGCGTCATCAGCTACAGTACTAGAAGCAGCCAGACGTAATCAGCTAGAGCGCGAGAGGCAGCCCGTAGTGAAGGCCTCGGTGCAGCCGGGCGCCATCAGCTACAATACTGGGGTCAGATCGCACGAGAACGGGCAGCAGTGGCAGCAGGCTTCGTGCGAGAAGGCGTCATCAGCTACAGTTCTTGAAGTAGCCCGTGAGGCCATGATGCAGCCTGACGTCATCAGCCACGCAACTGGGGCCTGCTCGTGCGAGAACGAACAGCAGTGGCAGCGGGCTGCGTGCGAGAAAGCGTCACCAGCCGCCGTGCGAGAGACAAACGGGCGCGATCAGCTACAGAGCGGAAGGCAGCCAGCATTGGCCTGGACACAGCCAAACGCCATCAGCCACAGTACTGGGGCTAGACCGCGCGAGAACGGACGGCAGTGGCAGCAAGCAGCCTCTGCGCGGGCAGCAGTTGAATGTGGAGGCCTTAGCCGCAGAGTCAGAAGCCGCCAGGCGTCATCAGCTGCAGCGACAGAAGCATGTATAAGTGCAGGATTCATTGCAGCCAGACGTCATCAGCTACAGCATTGGGGCCGGCTCATGCGAGAACAAACAGCTGTGGCAGCATGCCGCGTATGAGGTAGCGTCATCAGCTACCGTGCGAGAGGCAGCCTTGCGTCATCAGCTACAGCGTGAGAAGCAGCCATCAGTGCCCCCGACACAACCAGACGCCATTAGCTACAGTGCTGGGGCCAGGACGTGCGCGAACGCACGGCAGTGGCTGCAAATTTTGCGCGAGAAGACGGTAACAGCCTCGGAGCAGGGTACAGTCAGACGTCATCAGCTGCAGCGCGAGAAGCAGCCAGAAGAGGAGGCCTCATTGCAGTCAGACGTCATCAGCTACAGTACTGGGGCCTGCCCTTGCGAGAACGGATGGCAGTGGCAGCGGGCTTCGCGCGAGGAGGCGTCGTCAGTTACAGGGCGAGAAGTACCAAAACGTCATCAGCCACACAAGGAAGCCGTTGATGAGTATGGTATTCTCGCCGATGTTATGGACGTCTTCCGTCAACATTGTGTCAGCCAGGCTCAATGTTTGAAATGCGAGACCACTGTATCTTTCGAGCTGCTACTTCGGCATTGCTTGGCTTGTCGCCAGATCCATTGCGAGGGCCATGACTTGGCCACCATGCTACACAGCATGTGCCAGACCTTTGTTGACCAAATCTCCATGCTCGGTTTCGTGAAACTCGTGCATTTGGGCGGCACCTGGACGATCATGGTCGAGTGGCGCGACCCAGAGGCCAGAAGGACTCCAAGTTAGCTCGGCAGGTGGCAGCGCCTGCGCGGGACCGACGAGGTGTGAGGGGAGGCCGCCTAGCTGGACATTGCTTGTGCTGGATTCGGCTCGTTTTGCTCCCCCATTGCCCTCGTCGCCCTGCCGGGTGCGGCTCGTTTCACGTCTGGCCCTTGCGGGGCCCGGCGGCGGGTGCCCTCGGGTCCTCGTCGCCTTGCACTGTTTCCCCCTTCGGAGAGGCTGCTTGAACCAATAGCCTACAGTTCGAGAGAGAGAGAGAGAGAGAGAGAGAAAGAGAGAGAGAGAGAGAGAGGGTAGTAGGAGGAGGACGAGGAGGAGGAGGACCCCCTCCCCCTCCAACTTCTGGTGGTGGTGGTGTTAGTGGAAAACAAACCCACCGCAAGTGTGCACATCTGCCCACATCCACCGCCCGCTGGGGCCCCGTGGCCGAAACGGCGCCTCCCAGAGGTGGGCGCGCGCAGAGTCCCGCCTCGCAGGCCCGCCCGTCGAGGGGGCGCGCCCAGGGGGGCAGGGCCGAGGGGGCGGGCCTGCTCAGAAGGCCACGCATTGTTCACTAATTCTTCGAACGTCCTTTGACTTTTTGGGGGGCCAAGACCCTTCCATCTCTGATTGTTCCATCCTGGGCCTCATCTTGGCCAGTAGGAGGCCATGAAGAATTAGGAACGAACACAATCAGAAATGAGCACGATTAGGGATGAACGACGTGTACGAGGGCCCCCGAGGGCCTCCTGAGCAGCTCCCCTGGGCAGCTTCTCGGAAGGCCGGAGGGCGTCCGAGGAGCCCCGCCGTCTTCCGAGAGGGCCTGCCCCTACCTACATGCCCCCCCCCCCCGGCGCGCCGCGGAGCCTGGCCCACCCGGTGGGAGAGCTCTGGAGGTTGGAGAGGGGCGTGGCAGAAAGGGGAGTGGTGCCGACCGTGGAGATGGCGATGCTATCTACGACAGATGACCTCGCCAGATCCAGCGTTGGCACCGCACCGCTTTCCACCACACCCCCTTTCCCACCTCCAGAAGAGCAGCGCAGGCGTGCGGCTCGCGACCTCCGCGCCCCGCTCCGCCTGGCGTCTCCTGGGCCCCGCCCTCCGCCCTCTCCTTGCCGGCCGACGAGGGGGCCCCTTGGCATTTCGCGTCAGTCGGGGCTATTTTGGATTATTGAATCGCTTCGCTCATTCCGCCGGCCCGTGATATGGCATCGCTGGTTACCTAACAGCGAAGACTGATAGGTTTCTAGTAGTGTCAAAAGAGCTCACAGATCACTCCACAGGGGGGTCCGGGCAGGTGTTGGGGCGTTTCCGGGCGGCATGAGCCGGGCTCGTTTTTCACCAACAGTCACACACTTCGTGCTCTTCGCCTTCCCAGAACTCCATTCCCAGGCCACATTCTGGGGGGCCGGATGCAACAGTCACACACAAAGTGCTCTTCGACATCCCAGAACGCCATTCCCGGGCCACATTCTGGGGGGCCGGATGCAACAGTCACACACTTCGTGCTCTTCGAGTTCCCAGAACGCCATTCCCGGGCCACATTTTGAATGCCCGGAGCCAACTGTAGGCCACTTCGTGCTCTTCGAGTTCCCAGAACTCCATTCCCGGGCCACATTTTGAATGCCCGGAGCCAACTGTAGGCCACTTCGTGCTCTTCGAGTTCCCAGAACTCCATTCCCGGGCCACATTTTGAATGCCCGTAGCCAACTGTAGGCAACTTCGTGCTCTTCGACTTCCCAAAACTCCCATTCCTGGGCTACATTTTCAGCAGGGGCAAGAGCACGACGAGGGGGAGGACGAGCAAGACCAGGAGGACGAGGACGAGCAGGAGCAGGACGAGGAGCAGGAGAAGCAGGAGAAGAAGGACGAGCAGGAGGAGGAGGAGGACGAGCAGGAGGAGGAGGACGACCAGGAGGAGGAGGACGACCAGGAAGAGGAGGAGGAGGAGGAGGAGGGGAGGGGGAGGAGGAGTACCAGAGGAGGAGGAGGAGGAGGAGGAGGAGAGGAGGAGGAGGGAGGAGGAGGAGGAGGAAGAGGAGGAGGAGGAGGAGGATGAGGAGGAGGAGGAGGAGGAGGGGAGGAGGAGAGGAGGAGGAGAGGAGGAGGAGGAGGAGGAGGAGGAGAGGAGGAGGAGGAGGAGGAGAGGGGGGGGGAGAGCACCAAGAGGAGGAGAACGAGGACCACCAGGAGGAGGAGGAGGAGGAGGAGGAGGAGGAGGAGGAGGAGGAGGAGAGAACATCACGAGGAGGAGGACGAGCAAGACGAGGAGGACGAGAACGAGGGCGACCAGGAAGAGGAGGAGGAGGAGGAGGAGGGGAGGGGGAGGACTACCAGGAGGAGGATGAGGAAGAGGAGGAGAAGGAGGAGGAGGAGGAGGAGGAGGAGGAGGAAGAGGAGGAGGAGGACGAGGAGGAGGAGGAGGAGGACGAGGAGGAGGAGGGGGGGGGAGAGCACCAGGAGGAGGAGAACGAGGACCACCAGGAGGAGGAGGAGGAGGAGGAGGAGGAGGAGGAGGAGGAGGAGGAGGAGGAGGAGGAGGAGGAGGAGGAGAGAGCACCAGGAGGAGGAGGACGAGCAAGACGAGGACGACGAGAACGAGGACGAGCAAGAGGAAGAGGAGGAGGAAGAGGAGGAGGAGCAGGAGAAAGAGGAGGAGGAGGAGGAGGAGGAGGAGCAGGAGAAAGAAGACGAGCAGGAGGGGGACGAGGACGAGCAGGAGGAGGAGGAGGAGGACGAACAGGAGGGGAGGGCGGCCGGCTGCCCCGAGTCGTGCGCACAAGGGCTCTGAGGAAGGCTCCCTAAGCTCGAGACGCTTTGAATACTTTGTAGTTTCCTCGTAGCTTCCTTTCCATGCCTTTGTAGCTTCCACGCACTCCTGCGTCGCCAAGTTTCTTCTTGCAGCGTCCTTGTCGTGTCGCGGGGTGCGTTTGCGTCACTTCGGTGTTGCTGCGCCTTGAGACGTGTCTCTGCGCTCCCTAAGCTCGAGACGCTTTGAATACTTTGTAGTTTCCTCGTAGCTTCCTTTCCATGCCTTTGTAGCTTCCACGCACTCCTGCGTCGCCGAGTTTCTTCTTGCAGCGTCCTTGTCGTGTCGCGGGGTGCGTTTGCGTCACTTCGGTGTTGCTGCGCCTTGAGACGTGTCTCTGCTGCTTCTTCGTCCCATCGGGGAGTCCAGCGTCACCGAATTTGTTCCAGTATTGTGCTTGTCGTTCCAGGTCGTGCGTACGCGCGCAGAATGTTTCTCTGCAGCGTCCTCGTCGCATCAGGATGTCCAGCGTCGCAGAATGCATCCTTGTAGCGCCTCTTCTTCCAGGGCGACGTGGTCCTGAGTCGCCGCGGACGACTCGCCGCGGACGGTTCCATTCGATTCCACGGGCGATCGTGCGCATGTAGTTTGCCACGCGCCTGCGCGCGCGGAGAGGGCCTGGGCGCCCTGTCGCCTGCGGGCGACCGCGCGGGTTAGTCCCCGCAAAAGCCAAAGAGGGCATTTCCACACGCCGGGGAAAGCCTAAAAGGGCTTTCGTCTGCCTGATCCCCCCCCCCTCTTTCCTTCTCTTCTTTCATCGAAGTCAGAACCCCCGCCCCCTATGACGTCCTCCGCTGGCCTGGGTGGTCTACTCAGGTCGCGGAGGGGGATAGGGGGGGGTCGTTGCCACGGCTGGTGCCTCGATTTCACGACGGGGAGGGGGGGGTGCACCGTTCCCTCGGATGGGCACATCCCCCCCTCCAAGGGCCTCCGAGCCCTCCCTCTCCGTCCTTTTCTTCTCCCTTATCCTTCCCTCCCTCGCGGTTTTCGAAGCCTTTGGCGTCTCCGCCCACCACAGCGGGGATCTCGACCCCCCAATGGGATTCGTGGAGCGGGGGGGGCCTTGAGAAGCGAAACATTTCTTGGGGCGGGGCCACACAGCACACACATCACATCCATCGAGTCACGCACACATACAGCAACACGCTTTCTCGACTCCACAGGGGGGGTGCTTCGTGGAGGCATCACTTGTAACTTTGCAATTCTGTAATCATTGCCGTTCTGGTTCAAAGAACTTGGATTGCAGGAGTTCGAGGCAAAAGCGAGCCTTGTCCGCATCCGCTCAACCAGTCTCACCGTGCCGTGCACGGTGCTTCTCAGCCTGTGTCACTGTGCGCTCCACGGTGATCCTCCGGGTGAGCTACCATGGCTGCTGCTGCAGAACAGCCGACGTCTCCACTGGGTTTTCTCACGAAGAGCAGCGCCAAAACCCAAGACTTCCTTGTCCGAGTATACAAGCCCAGGGAGATCAAGTACTCGTACAAGAGCAGGAACAATGGCCAGCTAGTCCATGCAAACCGATTCACATGCATTCTGCTTGGCACAGACTCAGAGCACTATTGTGAGGCCATCCTCAAAGGAACTCCAGCAGAAGTCCAAGCTGCTCTGAAAAAGTTCCCTCCGATGACGGCGTGGAAACTCTCCAGCGTCGGCCTGGACAGTCGGCAGCAGGACGCTTTTGTGCATACGTCTGTTCGTGTCGTGGTCGACCTCAAGCGCACAACCTGCAGTCCAGTGCTCAAAAGCTCTCCGGAGGAGACCTCCTTGGCATCGGCGCCGGCTCCAGCGACTACAGTGGCGGACGTGATGAACATCAAATCGCAGCGTTGCTTCGATGTCATGGCTGTGGTTCATTCTGTTTCAGAAACCCGCACTCCCGCTGGCCACCCTCCAGTGGCAAGTGTACATCTGGTCGACGGCACACAGACGAGTAACTCCAAGACAGCGGAGGCTGTGATTGCAGTCTGGGGATCCACCAACATAGAGCTTTGTCGCTCTCACAAAGGACAACCGCTGCTGTTTCTCAACGTGGCGGGCAAATTCGACGGCAAACTGGAGCTGAACTTGTCGCAAGATCGCGTGGTGGATTCCGCATGCTCTTGTCCCAGAATGACTCAACTACACGACTTAGCAGCCGCTCAAGACTTCGCGATGGACCGGGAGCAGCTGACCGCCGCTCATGCGGGTACTTGGGATCCAGACCAGGCTTCGCAGATTCTCACCGGAGAAGCACTCCTCTCCTGCTGTGCCTTTTTGGCTATGGCGTCGGATGATCCGAATGCAAACTTGCCACTCTTGTTGCAGGTCAATGGGATGAGGCTTGAGGAACCGGAGCCAGCCGACTCTGTGGTGGACAACACAGGCGAGCGCGTGTTCTTTACGACTACTGCTCGTGATTTCAGTGGCTCGTGCAAAGTCGGCGTATCACAAGCGGCAGCCTTCGCCTTGACTGGCATTGACAGCATGCAAGAATTCAA